GGTCAAGGAAAGTAGACTGATCCTCACCATTGGGCAGGATTGTGAGGAGCAAAGGAATATATTTAAGAGCAAACAACTGAATAGCAAGAGGAAAACCATGGACAGCGACGGACGATTGTTTCAGCTTGGCAACTAGCGAGTCTGCGTCTTCAAGATAGCTTCCAACTTTAACCATTCTAAGCATCCTGTGAAAGGAGTGGCGACCCCATGGGTATTTGAGAAAGAAGTCTACATCTTTGACCATCTCAACAACTTCAGCTGATGCCTTAACTGGTTGGCTCCGACAAAGCAAAACACCCTCTACAATAACAATAAGCGCTAGGCGGAATTTACGCCAACTTGGCATATTTGGCTGAGTCTTCAACCTTTGGAGAAGTGCCTTCACAGTTACAGAACCAAGTTTACCACCAATTAAAGTATACCAATACGGAGCACTACCCTCGGCATGAGTTGTTGCAGCATCGAGTTTTTCCTGCGAAGGAAAAGGACAACATTCCAACCCAGTGGCTTCACGAAATTCCGATAGAGAAAAACGCAAAGGCTGACCCCCAAAAACAAACCACATTTCGTCAGAGTTGGTGGTATCCAGCTGCCTACATAACATCTGATGGACCAATTGGCCAGACAATGAACATCGCCTGACAGGCAGTAAGAAGAGGGACCCTAGCGGAGATGCCAATAAAGTGTCCAACTCAGGCATTCCATCGAGGATATGTAAAATATCAATCAAGTACTTAGGTTTGGAATAAGAGTTGATACGGACTGCATGACCAGGATAGCAGTCAGCAGAAAAAACTCTATCAGGAAGGAGTCCTACAACACCAAAAAGAAAAAGTAAACAACACAGGCAGTGGGTGTAAATATATGAAAAAAACTTTACTAACAACAACTGCAGCTATATGATGATGATAACCTTTAAAGCAACAACTTAATTGAACACAAGAAGGCAACCCTAGTCTCAACAACAGAGGGAAACCAAAATAGATGTGTGGCAAGACGGGAATAAGCAATATTTAGGAAAACATAAGAAACATGTGAAATGGGGGAACTAAACCCTAATCTCCACAGCTGAGGGGAACCCAAACACAGGTGTTTAACGAGTGGCAAGCGTCAGTAGGTGGAAAATCATAAAAAAACATGTGAAATGGGGGAACTAAACCCTAATCCCCACAGCTGAGGGGAACCCAAACACAGGTGTTTAACGAGTGGCAAGCGTCAGTAGGTACAAAACCATAAAAAAACATGTAAAATGGGGGAACTAGACCCTAATCTCCACAGCTGAGGGGAACCCAAACACAGGTCTCTAACAAGTAGGAACCATGAAGAGATACAAAAACATAAGAAATATGCAAACCTGGGGCACCGGCGTGAGATGGTCCAGCTCCAAATGAATCCATTTCAGACGGACAGGACCTGCACATGCAATTAAGCTCAGTTTCACCACAGACTAAGGTGTATGTATGTCCGGGAACAATATATTTGGCTACCGCGACAGAGAGACTATCAGAAAGAAATTAGAATAAGGACAAAGAATTTCCAAGAATTAGATTCAACAGGCAAACGGCTGTACACAGAAATTTCGCTTTCGAAGGACTAGAACATGATACAGATTACTTCGATAAGAACTACCAGCAACCATAAAAAGGTTGGAAATGGCGACCGCGGAGAAAAGGTACCACTGGAATAACTAACCAATTGCAACGGCGAGAGGAATTTGGTACAGAGAGCTTCAGAATGCCCTTTTTTTCTCACGGCCGTCGGAAATAAATTTGAAATCGGAGCAGAGTCTCTGTTTTCTCGAACCTCGGAGAAGAAAGAGTAAAGCAGACGACACAATATGACTTCCTATTAAATGTTCGAGAAATTGGAACAGTTACGTGTTGTTCGGTCTTCTCGGGCAGACGAGAGTGGGCAGGCGCAATAATGAAAAAGCGAGGGCAAAATCGTGAAATCGCATGAGTAGAAAAGGGTATATCCACAAACTGTTCCAAAAAGGTCGAAACCAACAAATGCCATCCGGAAAAATGGCTTTCTCGTAATTGATTCTAAAAATAAAATTTAGTAGTACATATGAAGTATTTAGCTATGTTTTGTGAAGTACTTAGCTATGTTTCTCTAAAAATGGCATACTTGTTATTGTTACCAAATTTAATAGCTTCATATCAAGTTTAACATATGCAATATATTAAAATGCCACTTGAGTTATATAATTTGTAGTTTTAGAATGGATCGTAATAATTTTTTTGGATGTATTCTTTCCGGAATATTTATTTTTTCATGGCCTATTATTTATTTTCATTATATTTTCTGACATTAGGGCCTATTATTAATATGATAAAATACAAAAAAAAATTGATGTGTCCCGATTTTCAATTGGACCAAATCATTAAGCCAGATCAGAAATTTGCGTTAAAATATGCCAATCGTCTTATACCTTCTGTAATATATTTTCATATAAATAAACTTCTCAACCTCCACACTTCTCTCACCCATCACACAATCCTCAAAACAGAGTAACCCAAAAAACAGAGCAATCTCTAAAAAAAGTCTCAAGAAACCTCACTAAAATGGGTTCAACGGCGGAGACACAATTAACCCCGGTGCAAGTCACCGACGACGAAGCTGCCCTCTTCGCCATGCAACTAGCCAGTGCCTCCGTTCTTCCGATGGCTTTAAAATCTGCTTTAGAGCTCGACCTTCTTGAGATCATGGCCAAGAACGGTTCTCCCATGTCTCCGACCGAGATCGCTTCTCATCTCCCGACCAAAAACCCTGAAGCTCCGGTCATGCTCGACCGTATCCTCCGTCTTCTTACGTCTTACTCCGTTCTCACCTGCTCCAACCGTAAACTTTCCGGTGACGGCGTTGAACGGATTTACGGGCTTGGTCCGGTTTGCAAGTATTTGACCAAGAACGAAGATGGTGTTTCGATTGCTGCTCTTTGTCTTATGAACCAAGACAAGGTTCTCATGGAAAGCTGGTGAGTTTTCTTGATATGTGTTCTGACTTTTAATAGATCTTTATGGTAAATCAAGCTAGAAAATTTCTGTTCTTGATAATGTTGTTTCATAAGTTATGCATCTTGGTTGATGTGATTAAAATACAATTGTGCAAAGGTAAAGGTGAGAGAGAGAGGCACAAAGTGTTAAAGACAATCAGACAAATACAGATAAAAAGACACGTATAGTCTAAACCTGCTCTCTCCACTAAAAAACTATATTATATACATTCTTTTAGTTAGTGGTTAATTGGTTATAACGAGCTGCTTAAATGAATTTTTTGTTTGTTACGGTGCCAAAATTATACAAATAATAATGAGGAGAAAGTTCAAAAACATTTATGTTAGGTTGTTCCAATCATAAGAGCTAGAAGAAAACACTTATTTTTATTGCAGAAAATACATATTTTTCCTTCTTTTTTTTGTCTAGTTCATGGCTTTAAATAGAGAAGCTGTAATCGTTCTTCCTAGTATTGAGTAACAAAATAAGGAAATAGAATAGCAACATGATTAGGAAGAGAATTGGTCTTCTGATGAGCAACAAGAAAATAAAAATAGAAAACTTATAATCTGGTTTTGGTCGAACCGGGTGGTTCCCTTTGCAAACCAGCGGTTCTTTCTCAAACTAAACAATCAACTTGACGTGGATCTAGTTTAATCACAAACTAGAGTTCAATCTTCTGAATTCTGATCACTTTCAAAACAGATTATTATAGTTAGTGATAACCAAAAGTTGATCTGGTTTAGAATTTGAAGAGAAACTTAAAAAATGTAATGGTTAGGTAATTAATTGGATTAAGCTTAAAGAGTGTATGTGTGTTTTCTTAGACTCATAAAGAGACATGTTTCAGGTACCATTTGAAGGATGCAATTCTTGATGGTGGGATTCCATTCAACAAGGCTTATGGAATGAGCGCGTTTGAGTACCACGGAACTGACCCTAGATTCAACAAGGTCTTTAACAATGGAATGTCTAACCATTCCACAATCACCATGAAGAAGATTCTTGAGACCTACAAGGGTTTCGAGGGCTTGACTTCTTTGGTTGATGTTGGTGGTGGCATTGGTGCTACTCTTAAAATGATTGTCTCCAAGTACCCTAACCTTAAAGGCATCAACTTTGATCTCCCACATGTCATCGAAGATGCTCCTTCTCATCCCGGTATATTAACATTTTCCTAACGTTTCGCAAAATCCGATTTACTTGAAAGATTTTCATCTTATTGCTTAAATCAATGTAGGTATTGAGCATGTTGGAGGAGATATGTTCGTAAGTGTCCCTAAAGGTGATGCCATATTCATGAAGGTTAGTAAATAGTAATTAACTAGGTTTTCTACTAATTACTTAAACCGAAAACTCTTTGACACTTTCTGTCGATTTCTCATTGTTGCAACAGTGGATATGTCATGACTGGAGCGACGAACATTGCGTAAAATTCTTGAAGAACTGCTACGAGGCGCTTCCAGAGGATGGAAAAGTGATATTAGCAGAATGTATACTTCCAGAGACACCAGACTCAAGCCTCTCAACCAAACAAGTAGTCCATGTCGATTGCATTATGTTGGCTCACAATCCCGGAGGCAAAGAACGAACCGAGAAAGAATTCGAGGCATTAGCCAAAGCATCAGGCTTCAAGGGCATCAAAGTTGTCTGCGACGCTTTTGGTGTTAACCTTATTGAGTTGCTCAAGAAGCTCTAAAAGACCAAAAAAATGTCCCTTTAAAGATGATTTTATATGTAAACATTATCTCATATCTACATGGACGGCTATATCATCACCTTTGTTTTAAAACTATCCTGTTTAATAATGGATCTTATAAGAATTTCGTTTAGAGTTTGTTTTTTTTATTTGCTTATTGATGATGTATCGTACTCGTGTTTTTGTTTGTTTGTAACAAAATTATGTAATTAAAGAAAAAATCAAATAATGAGCATTATTGAATCATAGTTAAAAATAACATTATCCGATACAATCAATCACATTCAGACAATTTCCACGTGGACTCTGTTCGTTCACCGACCATACTAGTTTCAACGAATCTTGATCAACTCAAAACTTCTCAAACTTGTCTTACTCTTTCTAGACTCTTCTAGCTTTGCTTCTCTTGTTACCGATTATAAATAATTTACAAGTCCGATCTTGTACTCGTCAAGAAACAAAAAAAAGTTACAAAATCTCAAAGGCTAGAAGAAATTCGATCAAAACAACAAATAGAATTCGAGGATGATGTCTATTTTTAGCCCCTTTGAAGCTCTTTACGCTGAATCCAACGGCTTCAAGATGATATTCTCAGGCACCAAGAATCAGTCTCCGGCGACGGAGCAGCAAAAGAACGTTGGAAAAACTCCGGTTTCATCGGACGACGAAAAGAATAATAAGAAGAAGAAGATCCAACCGATGAGGATAGCTCCAGAGCTTGACGGTGTTCATTGTTTTGAAACTATTCTTCCATTTTGATGATCATGATAATTATGATAAAGAGTTGTATTATTTTTCAGTTTTATTCATTACTTGTAAAAAAAATTGTTCCTTTTGTATAAAGATTAATCAGACAGCTTATTCCAATTCTATAAACTAATATTGGAATCATCTGCGTTTTGGATTATTCTCATTCTACTAAAAACGAATCTAAATTTATATGCTTATCTATATTCTTGGTTTCAAGATTCTTCTATGGAGAAGTGGTCTGACTCTGACTTGTTGTTCCTTCGAGCTGACGTTTTCTTCCACCATTAACAAACCTCTTCCCAAACCCTAAAAGAAACGCAGGAGGAACAAAAGCCCCTCCGCTCAAACTGCATACAACCGCAACAGCTCCACCAATAATCAACAGTTTCTTCAGATTCGCAGCGCGGTTTCCTTGGTTCAATGTAACGGGAGTTTCAGTGACAGGCGATGCACCGTTGCTGAGCGAAATGAGATGGTCTTGTGTGATCCTGGTGTTGATTTGGGCCATGAAAGCAGATCGAGAAAGCTTGGTTCCTCCTGAGAGTCTTTGTGTTTGGTAAGCACGTAAACCGGGTTCCATCTTCTTCACTGCTCCCCACATTCCTCGTTTCACTCCAAGCTTTGCGATTTCTCTCGGTATCCCCATGTCTTCGTGGTGGAATAGAAGTACTTCACAGGCACTTGTTACTCCATCGTCTCTTCTTGATTCCACTGCATTAATTTTGCCAATTGCGTAAAATGTTTCACTTTGTTTTTAAGTTATTCGGTTCTTGAAAGATCACAAAGTGGTGGATACGGATCTTTACCTGGCCGAATGCACCAGCTCGAATAGAACAAATCCACACGTTTTTGTTTGTTGTTAGGCGGTATAGACGGAACCGATACTCCCTGAACCAAGAACGAGAGAAGATCTTAGAGTGTTGTTATTGTAACTGATTCTTTTCCAATGCAAACAAGAAGCACAAAAGCTGACTCATATTTCTTTTCATAAGCTATTCGATCTAGAGCAATTCAGTTGCAATCCTATGCAGAAAAACTAGCCGACATAGACGCTAACTCGAGCTTTCTATACTCTTCTACTCTTTGACAAATCAATGTAAAAACGATTTGATTTTGTTACTAGTACATACCTTTGTAACACAATAATAAGAGTTTCCACAATTCCATATCCTGCGACCGATCACATACTCTCTATCACTGCAGAAAAACGGGAACTGCAATACCGCAACATACATAAAAGGAAAGATCAATCTAAGAACCAATCATGAAAATGTGTTACTAAACAAGTAAAGTAAGCAGAGAGGCAGAGACTAACCTTGCGTATCCATCTAACAATCATGGTTCCAGTACTGGGACACTCTTCAACAGTTGTGGAACTAGAAAGCATTGTATCCCAAGTTGGTCTAAACTCATCATCCCAGAAAAAGTCTCTTAAAATCTCAGGAGTTGCATCTTCAAACACAGTTCTGCTTCTATACTCAGTAGGACCATTCTAAAAACAAAACACAAAAGACCCATCAAGACAAAAAGAAACAAATCTCTCTATGTCAAAACACAAGAACAAGTAAAATTACCTTAGGTTCTCTCAACCAAGCTTGATATCTCATACCAGAAGTAAAACGATCCATCATCTGAATCCAAGCTTGACCACCATCTTTCCTCTCAACCAATTGCACAAGGTGTCTCAAATCTAACTCAGTAACAGTATTTGGCAATCTCTCCTCTGTTTTCTTCAATCTACAAAACCCAAAACACACAATATTAACAAAACAAAACAAAACACATTTCTATAACTAAATCATCATCATCAAATAAGCTTACCTTGAAACTAAACCCACATGTTGTTCAGAAGAATCAGATGATGAAGAAGAAGAATCAGGAGAAACTGTTCTCTGTTGTCTTAAAGCCATAGTCCATGTATCACAAACAAGAGCCTTTAAGCAAGGAGCTGATCCAAAACCCTTTAAAGGAGAAGTAACAACAGAACTAGGAGAAGAAGATGGTAAAGACAAATCAAAAGATCTTGGAGCAGAACATTGTAATTTAACTTGTCGATTATTAGAAGATGAAGAAGAAGAAACCCATCTTGGTTTCCATGTCCATCCAATAATCAATCCAACAACAAAAGCTAACCATCCTGTGATTAGCCCTAAGATTATACTCTCAAGCAAAGCCATAACTTTGCAGAGGATAAGTAAGAAAAAGGGTACGCCTTTAAATATGTTGAAACTTAGAAGAAACTAAAAAGAAACGATTTTTAATTTGGATAAAGATGAAAACTTTGAAGGCGGTGAGAGGAAGAAGACAAAGAAAGGGACACGAGTGGTGGAAGAAGAAGAGAGATAAATCTATTGGTAAAGGGTTATTATTCGTAGACGCTAAGTAGTAGTAGCCATTGATGGAGCTTGAAAGGCCATTGCTTTTTAGAGGAGGAGAAACAAGAAAAATGGTGGACGGAGAGTGTGAAACGACGACCACCGTCCATTAAGGACCATTTCTAAATTAGAAGGAGGAAGACTTCAAATCTGGTAGGGTTTATTTTTCTTTCCCCAAATTAAATTCTGAGTTTTATTAGTCCTTTTAATACCGTAACGTTATTTTATAGCCGCATATTTAATGTCACATTTTATAAGTGTGTGAAATCTAAACTTTGGTTATAACTTTTTTTTTTTTGGTCAACAATTGGTTATAACTTGTAACATGATTTATTTGACTTTTTTTTTAGAAGACTTGACTATGGGATTTTGCTCACTAGCATTAACTCATCTATTTTGATGTATTCAAAGTTTGATCGTCTTTTTACTAGGTCTTTCATCTTTTAAAGCTAAATTTCTAACATTTTTTTTTTAAATGAATTTATAACAGTTTGATTATCAGTTATCACTAGTTAATAGTTATGATTTCTATAATAATATTTACGCTTATCCAAAATAAAAAAAAAACGATAAGTCATTTCAAAATTGTTTGAGTTAAGAATTTAAAGTTTCAGTTTCCAAGTTCGAGTTAGTTTATGAAAATCGGAAAAATATTTTTTCATGTAGATTTTCTTTGTACCCGAAGTATGAAATTTTGTTCTCCTTTGCAAATAATTTGTGTTATGTAAATAACATCTTTAGCTAATCAATTAAAAAAAATTGTACATTTGTGCTGTGCTGCTAAATATGTTAGAGTAATGCAACTATGTTTGTTGTGGACATAAAAAAAAATAACAACAATATTGCAATGACGAATTTCGAATTCTTTTGACCTTGCCAAGGTCACTACACACATTGCCCACTTGTGCAAGAACGATATAATAATAAATTACAAGCAAACATATCTTAATAAACTCATCACTACCTCCAAGGGGCATTGAGACCATAACATGTTACATGAGGAAAAGAAAACCTTTGTACTGACTAAAAGATCACTTAAATCCATTGTCACGGCCGTTGTCACCACTATTACCACCGCTACCCGCATGATCGTTTCCATTGTTGCCATCAACAATCGTGTGATAATGGTGAAGATGGTAGAGATAGTAACATTGCGGTCGCTTAAATATAATTTTGGCACAAAGGTAATAATAATTTGTGTTGTGGATATATCGGCGAGGTCATGGATCCAAACAACATTGTCCAAAAACGTGATTTCATAATCTGTACACAGTCTTCTACACTTCATTAATGTTCATATTGTTCGTTTTTTTAGTGAGTTTGAATGGTAGGTACAAATACATTTTTAGCAGATGAAGCGTAAATAAATTGCATAAAATTAAAAGTTTCAGGGTTATTGCAATTTCCCATTCTTAAAACGAAACAAACAAGTTCTCTCCTCAGGCCCAATACCATTTGACTACGTCTTTGTAATCTTTGGTTATTAAAGTAAACCCATCTTGGAATCAAACACGACCGTTAAAATCAGAAACCTTGGTTTTGGTCCTTCTTGGATATAGCCATGGTGATCTTATCTCTCGTCTCTTGTTCCTTCTCCGTTTTCTCACCACCGATTAGTCTCCGCCTCCATCTCCCGCCGGTTACATCTCTCTATTCCAATGGAACCTTCCCTGCTTCTTCTACATTTCGGTCTCAGCGACAGCCATTGCTTATGAGCTGCTTAAATCAACGAGAACCTTCTCTAATTTTCCGATGTTGTTGCCTTAGTTCAAATATTGACGCCGGAAGTCAAATTGGTAGGTGAATTTAAGAATCTGATACTTCTATGCATTTATTTTGTTCTCTGAAGCATATTCCCAAACACTTGGTGTGCGTTGATCAGTATCTCTCTTTTGCTTTGCAGAGTCTCTGTTTTCGTTATTCCGAGATATTGGGTTTATAGAAGAAGAAACTGAGATGATTTTAGCGAAGAACCCAGACATAAAGTCGGCATCTTTGGATAAAATTGGTGCTCGTGTTGCTTCTCTTCAGTCTCTGAAAATCGATGGCTTCGCGCTTCAGGGTTTGATTGCAAAGTGCCCTACTTTATTGACTTCAGAAGAATTTGATCCCATTATTAGTTTCTTAGTTGATGAACTCGAAGCAAGGCTTGACCCTGAACTAGTTGAGCGCTTACTCTCTGTGGTAGACACATCTATCTTGCTTAGTTTTAATCAGAAGGTGAGATTGCTTCTCCTCCATGGAATCCCTAAAGAAAAGATCTCTCATGTGTTGAACAAAGTGTACCTAAATAAACTGCTGTATCAGAAATCAGTTGAGGACATTGAGAGATTGATTAGTTTCATGGAACCTTTTGGTGGAATCGGTATAATTGCGAGGCGGCCAGTGATTCTCAACAGTGACTTGGATAGTCAGTTGATTCCTAGGGTTGATTTCATTAGGAATCTTAGTGGGGAAGACGATTTCGCTACTGGAACTGTGTTACGTAGACTCCCTGCTATATTGAGTTACAGTGTTGAGCATATGAACAGCCACGTCGAGTTTCTCAAGTCTTTTGCTGGCTTGACGAGTGAGCAAGTGTTTAAGATTGTTCATGTGTTTCCTAATGTAATCAGCACTAGTAAAGAGAGGAAGCTGCGCCCGAGGATAGAGTTTCTGAAGGAATGCGGCTTTGATTCCCCCGGCATGTTCAAATTCTTGAGTAAAGCACCGTTGATTCTAGCTCTATCTGAAGATAATCTCTCGCACAAACTCGGGTTTTTAGTAAAGATCGGATATAAGCACAGAACAAAGGAACTGGCCTTTGCGATGGGAGCTGTGACCAGAACAAGCTCTGACAATATGCAGAGGGTAATTGGATTGTACTTGAGCTACGGTCTTTCGTTTGAAGACATTCTAGCTATGAGCACAAAGCATCCTCAAGTCCTGCAGTATAACTATAGTTCTTTAGAAGAAAAACTGGAGTATTTGATCGAGTACATGGGTCGTGAAGTCGAAGAACTTCTTGCATTCCCTGCATTTCTTGGGTACAAGCTTGATAGCAGGATCAAACATCGGTATGAAGAAAAGTTGAAGAGCAGAGGTGAGAACATGTCTCTTAACAAGCTTTTGACAGTATCAGATGAAAGATTCTCTAAGGCGGCTGATAATATTGAAATGATTTGTTTATGATTGAGTGACAAAAGGAAACAACAAAGTTAATGACCAAGTTTGAGTTCATTGAGAAGTTACAACTGAAGAGTTTTTATCACAAATTCTCACATCGATATCAACATTAATACTTGCTCGGGTTAGTTTATGCATGATTTTGTAGATATAAAAATCTTTTATGTCGATCACAAAGACAAGAGAACATTGCAAAACTGGAGCAATAAAAAGGATGCAGAGCAAACTTTACCCTGACTGGATTTTATTTGGAGCATACAAGTTAAGATTGGGCTTTGAAAATAACTAAGTGGGCCTTGGCCCGTATATCGTCAAATCAAGCATGTCATGTGCACCGAAAAAGTCCCACATCGCTCGTATAGAAACTTAACTTGTTGTATATATAAGACCATGTACATAGCTGATATAATGAGAGTATCAGGAGCCTATTAATTATTTTTTAATAGATTAGAGTATCAAGTTGGGCCTGATCAGTATCACTGGAGTGATATTTCTGATACCCAGTATCAGGTGACGTGGCGGCAGCTGATTCGTCTGAGAAATGCGTTTTTCCTTGAAAGTAGAGAAAAAAAAATTCATATTTGGCAAAAATGGGGTCAAGGTAATTGACTTCGAGCGACTAAATTATTTTTATCATCATGTTTTTTTAAAGTTTTTTTGAATTTTATGTTTTATTTTGCTTAAGTATATTCTACGGTTTTTTAATTCTAACAAAATTTTACCCCGCTGTACACCGCGGGATGATTTATTGTTAAAAGTTAGTATATATAAATTTTTATAAATTGTATCTCCTTATAAAATATTTATGTATTATATGATGATTCAAAACAGTTAAAAACAAATTAAACAAAAATGATAGAAGAATCATAATTCTAAATCTTAATCAAATCTTCTAAGTATCTAAATTATTAAATATAGAATATACGGTGTATGAGTTGGGTTAGATATAACCCGACCCAAGAAATTTTTTGTAATCCTATGTTTTTATATATTTATTTTTGATTTTGCAAATAATTTTTTTTTATGATACTTAAGCCGGTCTCACCAATGCAAACATATTTAGTAGAAGTATCATAAAAAATCTCAAACAATAAACAAACATTATAAATAATACTAAAAAATTCCTAATGATACTATATGGGTATCACCCATATACATGCTCTAACTTTGAGTGAACAACATTGGTCACGACCTTACTTGAACAGGATCTGTTCTATAGGCTCGTACCTCTGTTTCCTTGATTTCTCAAGAGACAGGCCCTTAACCCTGGTTGATGAACCATGACCGTGCTATCAGAGCGTGATTAACGGCCACGATCATCTTCGGACGCATCCGGTGCTGTAGAGGATCGTTACTCGGCTCGGTTCTACCTTGCCGGGGTGGTTGCACGGCGGTCTGACAGGTTCCTTTTTTTTCATTCACTCGGTTCTTTATTTTAAACAACGTAAGCTATATAAATATACAATCCAAAACATAGAGTCATTGATGAGAACTAAAAGGTGCTAAAGAGATATTTGACTATAACCATTACAAAATAATAAGAAGAAGCAATGAGACGTACGAGAGAACTGACAATGCCTAAAAAAGTTATTTCGTAGTAAAAGTTTGTGAATAGTGACATTGACATCATCGCACAACTGCATAGGAAGAAACTCAAGTGAGATCAGCCTCGAATCTGAGTTGTATAGTGCTATATCGTGCATCATACAATGAGGTAGTTGATCTTAGTTAACCTTCATGAATTGATACTTTTTTTTTAATCAATCCGATGAGATTAAAAGAGATCAACTACACAACTGGACATTGTACAATTCAGATTCTCTTAAGCTCCTTTCGATGCAGCCTTGTGATGATCTCACTATTTTCATGGTGAACTTGTCTTCTTTCTGTTTTATAGAGGAGAGTCCATTGGTTAATTGGTGATGGTTTTAGGTATCTAAAGAAACAAATAATTTATAGGGTAAAATAACTAATGAATACAATAAATTCATTACGAGAGTTACAGTTTGAGAATCGTCCGTTATGACAATCTTTGTAATAAAAACATAGACACTTCACCATTT